GCGGGGGGAACTGCGCAAAAAACGCATCCTCGTACCGGCAGCCGGTACGCTTTCTACTAGGTTTGGTTAGCTGTTATTCCACTGCGGTATCCTTTCATCTCGGCTTTATTGGTGTTGTTTCTGGATTTCGTCAGAGCCTTGCCACATGTTTCTGTTGAGAGGATCGCTTTAGCAATCGTCGAGTCACGGATCGCCAGCAGACTGGCCACGTGGCGATGCCGCATTGGTCGAAGCAAATGGGATGGGAACGGTGCCAACTGGATAGTTTTGAAAAAAATTGCTGATACAAATATATTCCAAAATTTTACCGCATTTTTGTTTCGGGATAATAGTTCTGCTTGAACTTTGGGATTTCTTGCCCAATATGATGCTCTCCCTCCACCATACATATATGGGAAAAAACTCAATTTTGCTTCAGCAACTGTCTCACTCAATTTTGTCGTTTCTTGCACTGTCTGTGATATCCCCCGTACGTATTTGGACCGAAAATGTGGTGTTTCCAAGCGTTTTTGCACGAAATTTAGCTTTTTTTCAGTTGCTACCCTTGAAACTTTCGCGAACTGCTGATGATTCTAGCGTTTTTTATTCAAGCTTCTAGGCAGTTTCGCGCTCATCCGTCTAACTCGACTTAATTTTGCTCTTGTGTTATGGCTCACATGGAATAGACATTCAGCCTGAGATCGAAGGCTTCGCATAGCTGCGCTCGACGTGTGGATGCATCCCAGTAACATCACTAATATGTGATATTCGCGCTAATACCCTGCAGATCGTGGCACTTCTGTTGCCTTTTTAAGTCTTTCAGGACGAGCTTGGCAGAATCTGACTCAATTTTTCGCGTTTTCTTTATTTCACGCCAGCGATTTTTGACCGCGACCCTCCCCACATTGTTTAGGAAAAGTCAAGATGTATCACGGAAAAGGGTCGTAAGAAAAATTTCTGAAAATACCAATACCGCGAAATTCCATATAATTTGATGCTACTTTATACCACCCGCCAGTATACGCAACTTCTTCGATGTAGATATGCTACTGAAGTGGTCGTTTACTTTCTCAAGAGTACCATTCAATAACGCGCGATTCTGTTAGTACTTGGTACTTTTTCGCATTATCGTAATGATATGCTACACACCGCTCATCCTTGACAGTGTGAATGGTTGTTGCTTTACAGTCCAGGATGTGCATACTCATGTGAGCAGTCTTGAATGTTGCGAGGCTCGGCTGGGACGAGGTGTTGCACCGTGGGGCTACATGAAATTTTAACATAGGCTACGAAGGGACACTCCAAGCATCCTTCGCTTCTTCCCGTCTCAGCCAGCATTTGCTCTTCTGCTTTCGCCAGTGACCATGTTTCGCATTCATGCGTCATTACTGTATGAAATCTAAGCTTTTAGTATTTGTGTTGCGATAATTGAGCGTTAATCAAAGAAATCAGTTTCGTATGTGAATGTGGAAAATAACTGTGTAGGTATTTGCAGAAAGATGGCATCGATGATTGAAGGTGACCCACATGAAGTTGAACATGTCGAGGATGATCGATTTCGTGGCGAGGGTAAAATCGTAGACGAGCAGGACAGAGAAGAGCATTTCGTCAAACCCCTTCATACATATTATTGCCACTGTGGACTGGTAAGTGTTCGTTGGGCGTGTATTTATGTGAGGATCACGTAATCATCCCGCTATGTGCTACGTGAAGCGTTGTTCTGGGGGGCTGACATTTCGCGTAGTCAACAAGTACCCCTCCCTCCTCCAGTTTTTCAAAACAAATTCCACCAAATTTAGTTTAGAGGCGTTTTTGTACATCACATCAGGCTGAACAGCGTCGCTAGGCAGATACCATAGGGAGGCACCGAGGTGTTGATTTTCATTAAATCTCTTCGAACAAGGTGTTTGGTTTCCTGCCTATGCGGCCGATAACTTTCACAGTTGCTTCGGCCAGTACTGCATCGCCTGGTGATCAGCCTGTTAATGATCTTGACATTCATTTCGTCCGCTCTAAAAATTGCTGGGGTGAGTGGTTTACCGAAGGAAATCCTTTACAAAGCCTTGACCGTTGCGAATTGTTATTGATTTGCTGTGTTGAGCATCACCACCTCGTTCCGCTTACTGCGTTAGTATACCATTATCATTAGGAACGATGCATATGGGGTCTTGAAAGAGAAAATGGTACGCGTATTGGTTGTGGCCAGTAGCACTTCATAAGAATTGATGTAAAAAATCAGCCATAGTTAAAGAGAATGCAGCTTCCAGCGGCTTTTTCAACAGTGCAGGGATGCCAAGAAATATTGTACAGAGTAGGGGCTGCGGTTATTAGGACAGGGAAATTTTGGTGTTACTGATCTTGGCCTGCGTTTTTATCCCAGAAGCTTGAGAAGGGCTGATAGATCTGGGAGTTTTGGTAGTTTGCCCCGCAAAAAAAAGCCTTTCAGATTATGTAGTAAGAAAATGAATTGGAAAGATCCAGAAGAAGAATGTGACACCTGTTTCACTGATTCCTCCGTTCGTTCGCTAATTTTCATTTATTCAGATTGCGATGATAACAGATACACTGATAACAAGGATGCCGCTGCGTCGACGTGATCGAGCACGTGTCATTGATCCCAGTAGAACGGCTGCAAAAACATTTTGCGATAATGGTGATACAGTGTATGTACGAAGGTAAGCTATCAAATTTTTCCAATTTCTGGACTTGCTTTATGTAACAGACACTGACAGACACTAATTTACCAAATGTAATACATAGAAAGCTGAAAATTGGTAAATCGAGTAGTTTCATATTTGGTTTATTTGGAATACCTAGGTCTGATATTCTAACTGTGCAGCTGGCGGCTTTTTCAATTGCTTTGACCAATGCTGTATTATCTGTTGGTCAGCTTGCTGATAATTTTTTTATTCCTCTCGACTTTTACGCTGAATAGCCGAACCGAAGCACTTAGTAAGGCTTTAGCCGTCTCGAGATTTATGGGTCCTAGACTGCATCAAATGCCTTACCGATTAAGGACTTTTTGACCATAAATGCAGATATTTCACAGCATGTTGTCAACTCGAGTTTTGCGACTATTCCTTAATACAATCAGAATATTGTCTTTGTTTTTTTGTAAAATCCCAAATATCTCTGTACTTCTATGATTCCTACATTTTTGATTGTCCGGCCTGTGAAGCTACAGAAGCACGAAAGCTAGAAAGCTGAAATTTCGGGACCATAATCCTCGACTGTTTGCAATCCCAGAAATGCGAAAACAAACTGATGGAATTAAGGTTTTCCTGTGGTACTTTACATTACAGGCAAGAGGGTTTGGAGCAGCAGTACAGAAAAAATTGTCGTAAATGTGGAATTCCGTTATTTTACCAGCATCCTTTCAATTTGAAATATGTATTCATCTTTGATAATGCCGTTCGATCAGCTCAGCAAGTTGGTGGCCTGAAGCTTG